GACATTACTACTATTAAGCATGCATTAAATTTATCACATAGTTTCTTGATTGTTATGTCAGTAATGGGAATGAGCGCATATTTTTCCTGGTTAGTTTTAGTTTGTCAAAAGAAACAGATTTTTCTTGGGAGACAGCCATTTATTCATCCATTAAATATTGCTTAAATGCCTACTACCTGCTAAAGCCATTAGCAATGCATTGTGCAGTAAAAGAGGCCTGTTTCTACCTATGTGGAAACAGACATTTGCAATTGTGTTCATATGGAAATGGGAGAGTATGCAAGAAAAGTTGACACCAGTTGGCTTAGGAACCTGACACTCAGGTTAAAATATAAGGGATTCCTAAGAATTAGGTAGACAGAAAATTCAGAGAGAATTGAGGAAGTTCGTGGGTGTAATCTCTGAGATATGACCAAGCTTGGCCTGCTGGCTGGCTAGGAATGAAAGTCGATGTGAATGAAGGGCATGACATGTGATTCTTAAGAGAGATGGAAGAAGTAAATGCAAATTCAATTTTCCACTAACCCGTTGTTGAATTTTACATGGTAAAATAATGTGATTTCAAAAGTATTTGAGAGAAGTCACTTCCAGTGTTAAATAAGCAAAGGGAACATGACAACTCTTGTTTGGCTAGACCCAGATTGTTGCTAATTCCTTCATGGTCTTGCTGCCCATGAATGAGCCTATATGTATAACGCCTGTGTAAATCAACTCCTGGAGAGGCCTAGTTTGAGTACAATGTCATTCTTGGTGGGATCGTGCTTCTTACAGCTGTCGTTTCTATGTATCACTGGTCTCACCTGTGGTTTCCTGGGGCTCTTCTAATTCTAGATTTAATTCCTCTTCATTAGAGTAGGCATGTGGATAGAGTCTTTGTTTCTTTGTTGCTTGCTTGCTCTCTTTTTTATTTATTTTCCTACCTTACTTGCTTTCTTCTTTCCTCCTCCTCCTGCTTTTTCTTCTCCTCCTCCTTTCTTCTCCTTCCTCTCCATCCTTCCTCTCTTCCTTCCCCTCCCTCTTCTCCCACTTCGCCTTCTCTCCTTCCTCCTCCTCCTTCTCCCTCCTCCCCCTTGCTCTCCCCCGCAGCAATCTTACCATGTACAAGCAGCATAATATTACTGCCTTGATGGTGCAGCCTTTCCTTCTCTTGAAGGTGGTCCCAATAGTACCAATACATACTGTTTCCTCCTCATTAACCAGTTTGTTATTTAGGTATTTATGCTGAATACATTTCTAAAGGAGTAGCAAGTTAAGACTCCAACATTCTATAACAGAGGGCATGGAAAAGTCCAACTGAACTTAAAAAAAATTAAGGTCAGTATTTCTTGGTCTATTATGTCAGTCATTAAAAATATCAACAGAGACAGAAGTGAAAGAAAGAGGACATGAAATTGCTTTCTTTGATAACTCAAGGTCAACAAAATCCCAAGGTTCAGTTCATAATCTGAACAGTAGACAAACTCAACTATAAATGGGGACAGTGACTGAGCAACCAAGCTAATGACAGGCATCCTCTAGGCTGCAGCTGTCAATTCTGTCCCCAAACAGATATTCAGAGTCACACAGTCGGAAAAGTGGAGCCAATTGAACGTGCAAGTAAATAAAAAAGAATTAATACAGACTTCACTCCTTAGTAGTAAATGTCTCCTCATGATACATTCACACACACACACACACACACACACGCTGTCTAAACACTGCTAAAGTCTTTGAATGAGCTGAATGAGGGCATCGTGGCATAGTTTCAGTAACCATTGCCTGCTTCTAGGGAATATTACCTTCACAGAGATTTTTGTGGGGGATGAGAAGATTCTCCTCACCTGCTTTATCTATTCTGTTGTGTATCTGCTGATATATGTGTGTGTGTGTGTGTGTACCTGCTGATATATATATATCGTATCATATATATATAATATCATATATATATATATCGTATCATATATATATATACCGTATCATATATATATATATAGGGAATATTACCTTCACAGAGATTTTTGTGGGGGATGAGAAGATTCTCCTCACCTGCTTTATCTATTCTGTTGTGTACGTGCTGATATATGTGTGTGTGTGTGTGTGTGCGTGTGTGTGCACGCGCACAGGCAAATGTGTAGTAGCTGAATCTCCAACACTGAAGCCCAAGGACAATTAACACAAGTTAGTGTTTCCTGTTTCCTGTGAATAAAAACACAGCAACATGTCCTCACCTGCTG